CTCGGCAACAGCTGCTGGCCCAACGCCACAGTGCATTGTGTGTTCTTCTGTCCACTGCTATGTGAGGCGTTTCTGGCAGGGCGGGATGAGTCCGGTCCTCTGGGCGCCGAGCTGGCGAAAGTGTTGCAAGCATTGAACAGTGGTCTCTGGGATATCTCCGCCATTTTCTCTTTTGAATCAGCATTACGTCACCAACGCTGGCACCTTCCCCATCAGTGGCATGGCTGACGCAAGCGAGGCTCTTATGGTGTGGTTGCAGTCGTGTCCGAAAGCTCGGGCTATGTTGAGTTGCTCACGTTTCGGAATTCCGGATGGAGTCTGGTGCTCGGATGGCATCTTCTTTTTGTCTGATGCCTTTTCTCGCGGACTTTGGACTCTGGATGGCATCGTGAAAGCAATCTTCACCGAAGAGTGGCCCTCGTCGATGGTGTTGATTCTATCTTTGACGTCGGGGAAGGGATGCAAACTGGATTTGAGGTGGCTGATGGACCGGCGGAAGGCTGGCACTCCGTGTGTATGTGTGTGTGTCTGTTGTTTTTGTGTTCTGTCTGCAGGCTGAGTACTACCTCACGGGGGTCATGTGTTACACGGACGAACATTACACTTCCACGGTTCATGCAGAATGTGGTTGGTTGACCTTTGACCTTTGACGATAGCGCGGCGTCCAGATTCGATCAGCGGCATTCTTGCAAGTGGCCCACACTGATGTTTCTGCGCAAGCGCGTTCGACATCGAGGCAAAACGGCGCATGTAGGTTTGGCTGCGCGGTCTTCCACCCCGCGTGCCGATGAGGTTTCTTTGTCTGCGCTGAGTTGGTTGGGGATCTGCAGGGATCTATTAAGAGCTATGCTCGTGCGCTGGTGCAGCACCTGGATCCTCCATCTTTGATTGTGTGGAGAACCCATTGATGTTGGTGTCTGTGCAGAGGGCGACCGATCCCTGATGGAAAGGCGTGCGAGCGATGTCAACGGCAGAGGACCTCGAGTGATCAGCGGCAGGTGGATGTCGTAGATGTCCTGCGTAAAGAGATGAGTGGCCTGCAGCTGCACACAATCTGTTACTGAAGGACGTGTGGCGGGGTCTGTTGCCGGTTGTGGGCAGAAAAAGATCGTGCAACCTGCTCGGTGTCTTTTTTCTTTGTGGCGTGGACATATGAAGTATCCGGTGTGACTGTGTTCTGCTTTGAAATGTTGGTCTTGTGTGTGTGTGTGTGTGAGAACCACCTGTTTGCCAAGGTTTCCTTTTTCCGTTTTCAGGTTCTGCAGGGGCACACGGCTTCTATAACCTACCGTGTGCAATGTAGCTACGGTTATGGATGGGATATCCA